TAATTTGGTTTCCTTTGTTTCAGTGCAAAATATGCCTTTTGCTATTGAGACCTATAAACTATGCTGTAACATGGAAAACAGTTATTTTTGTGTATGGATAAATAGCTAGAGCTCTTTATCTCTCTGTGTAGACAATGTTCAGTTCCTGTCATTGCAATTCCTTTCTCATAATTACCTTGCTTTCTCTCCTCTCTTTTTCATAGTTTATTCCTGTCATCACCTCTACTCTTCTTTGCATATAATCATATTATATTTTAGATATAGATAATAGGATGCTAAGATATTATTTAGCTTACAGAAAGAAAGCCTGGATCATCTATCTTCTCTTAGCTTACTGTGGGAGAGGCAACTTCCAAATATGAATAGTTCTATGACTCATTTTACTGCCAATGTCATAGGAACAAGAGAAAGGAGAAGCACATCTCTTGCAAGAGACTCACTAGATATTTCTGAACATGACCTTCAGCTTACCTCTTGGTGAGAGGGAGTTGGATGAGTAAGTGAGGTTTTTGAAGGCCTCCTTGCAGCTAAAAACAAGGCTATGAACATAACCCAGCAATTCTGACTTCAAGTTTTGTGATATTTCAGGAGTACTACCTTAAAATAATCCTTCTTTTTGTGTAAGGGGTAATTCTCGCCATACTGAGCATAATAGATAATAGGGGTCATTTGATTTCGAAAAGTTTGAACATAATAAAATGATTAGAATTTTACTTGTAGACATTTCTCTAGAGTTAATGGAAATTTTCACAACTCTGCTATTCACATTCACACATCCCTCACAAATCCCACAAATTCATCAAAATTACCTCTTAAATATTCTAAGTTTTCAAGATAATTTTTAGTGCCTTATCCAAATCTGTCTGGCTGGCTCTAGAGATTTTTCTTTTGTGTTCTTTTTTAAAACAACACTTACATTAACTTTCTTTCTTTTCCCATTCAACTTACAAAAGAATTAACTTCCGGAATTGTATTGAGTTGATAAAACTCTGAAGAAATGATATCATGTCAATTAGAGCTATTATGACTGGCAATAATTTTTTTCCCCTGCCTCAGTAGCATTAGCATTTACAGGAAAAGAAAGGTTACCTAGGCCATTTCTGTTCATGTATTTTACTCTGATATGCTAAGATATACATTTTTTCCGACAAAACCAATGTCAAAGGTGGGCATGTAAAGCTCAAGCATCAAAAGTAAAAGTCTACTTTTTTGATAGCAAATAGAAGTAAATGCATCTCACGTAAAATATTAATCAAATTCAAATACTTAATGATTTTATGAAAGTTAGTCCTTGATCAGTATGAATGAGCATATCCGTACTTCTGCATCATTGCTGATATTATAAGTTACACCTATTTTTAGAAACAAGAACATCTTTAGGGAAGGCAGTACTTGAACAATCTTTACCCAGCACACATTTAATATAGAACTGCTTAGATGTGAGACAAATTTAAGCACTATAGGGGTTGAAAATACTTTTAAGACATTATGTCAGCCCTACTGTTTTAGGGCATTTCAGTGATAAGGCCAAATGTGGGAGGGGAGGCTTCAAGATACTGATAGATTCATTCACTCTTTCTTTAGCTCATATGTTTACTCATTGATTAAAAAATATTCATCAATCATTTATGGTGTGCAAGGCACTTGCCATCACTGAAGATACATTGATCAATGAAACAATACTTTCTCAATCTTCAAGGACTCTACATATAGCTATGGGGGTGATGATATTAAACAAATAACTGAAACCTTTTATTGCAAGTGTAACAACCACTGCAAAGCTAAGAGTGGTGTATTCTGGAAGTGTATTGCTGGAGACCTTTACTCTTTAGCTTCCTACCCCATTCAAGTTCAATATTTGTGAAGTATCTTGTATTTGGGCATGGGAAATTTTTCAGGGGCTTCAACTGGCTTGACAGAAGTGAATAAAATTATAAAGTGTGTGAAATAGTTTTTCCAAAACATAAATGGAATGACATGCTTTTCTTTGAGGCTGGTTGAAACTAGTGATTTTTTTTTTTTTAATTATTGAACTGCCTGGGATACTGTCTTCATGTGATTCTTAACAACTTAACTACTTTTCATTGTTGTTGTTTGGGGCTTAAAATACCAAAAGCTTTCCTTTTAAATATCCAGTTGACATCTCCCTGGGGAAGGAAGATATGTATCACTGAGGGTTACATGTAGTTTCACATCTAATAGAAATAATAATGCTAATGACAATGATGATGGCAATAGAAAGGGGACACTAGTGCCTGTTATTTATCAGATACATTCTAAGAATTTCACATACATCAATTGTTTTAATTCTTTGATTATGTCATTTTTAGATAGAGCCTAGATTTCCCAGATGAAATCAGGACACCTTAGATTTACCTTTAATTTGCATTGAGGCATAGCTTTTATTTCATCAGACATTTTATCATGTTTTCCCTCAATCTCTATTTGTTCTTGTTGCCTCTGGGATCTGGACGTAGCTTCTAGCACTGTCAGCCCCACACTAGAATGGAATTTTTAATGCATTGTGTTTCTTTAAGTAACTGGCTGCCAGTTCAAAGGTTGTCATTTAAGCCGATGACCTAGATTCATGTTCTAGCTAAAAAATTAGATCAGGAAGATATGAATCAGGCATTTTTACTTTTTGTGCCAGGACTCAGATCTTGCTGTGAAGTATGTGGAATTTTCCAAACACAGGAAAAGGATACAAATTCTAGGTTTAAAAAAAAGGCATAAGAAATGTCTATCATATCTATTCATCATATGCCTTTCCTATTTCTATAAAGGATCAGTCAAAGATTTGATGATCTTACCTATACATACCATTTTTTTCCCTGAAATAATATTCAGGGTACCACCTATAGGTATTGTTTAAATAATTGCTATTAAGCGGTGTTTCAGATTTGTCTTATTAGCTATTTGCCTAGGAAATTGAGTTGAAATATCAATCTCTTGGTTAGAGAAAATAAGAATGGAAGATGAATAAGATGAGCTTAGAAGCATTGATAAAGGACAAAAGCGTGGGATATGTTTTCAGAAAAGTGTAAATACGCTGCAAGAAGAGATGATCATGAACAAGGGTAGTATATTTTCACTTGGTGGAGGACATAGTGAATCTACTGAAATTTAGTGTCACTAGTTTGATGAATTTTCCTTGATGGGAACACTATTTTTTAAGAAAACTGATCACTGATGAAGTTTATTATCTTTGCTTCAAGGCATTTAAAAAAAAAGTTTTCTGTATGGCAGCAGTCAATGTCATCAATTATATATAAGCTGGGCACTGGAAAAAGGAATAGTCATGATGCCAGGCAGGGTATTAAGGAAGCAGTAACCATAATAGCTTTAGATATGAAAATTAAAATGTATAGGTAGGGTAATCAAGATCTTTGCAAAAAAAGCTTTCCTAAACACTTTAAGTATATTGTGTGTGCTCACGATTTCTTTGTGCTTTGGCACTGTCTTCCACTTTACTTTTTCATACCACAGAAGCAGCCCCAAAAGATCCAGAAGTCATCTTTGGAGCTGCTACTGTCATTGCATATCTTCAGCCTACCCTTACTAAATACTCCGTTGATTCAGGCAAGAAGAAAACAACTGCTGACATTTTTTAGTTGACTTACCGATTGTGGCATTTGGTGCTTGACACAGGACTTAAACCAGAAAATGCGTAAGAATCTTCTCCCCTCGTACCCTTACCGTATTTGGTGATTCTTTGGAAGTAGAAAATAATGTTGGTGTATGCTTGAGGGTGATAATAAGAGTATGAAAAACAAGAGAAAGTATGTTTTATAAAGTATGGCTTCTAGATGGACTTTAAAAGTATGATTTTTCAGTACCCAAACATGTTTGACTTACTTGAAACATTAAAATACTTCCTTATCAGCCCAGACCCTGATAGTTCAGTCTTGTTTTCTGAAATTCACTTTTGTAGAATAGTAAGAGTAAGGAACAGATATTTGAAACCTAAGAAGTCTAGTGTTTGAGTCTACACAATTAGCCACAAGAGTCTCCTGCCTACCAGAAAAATCACTAAAACTTGAAAACTTTGGTTTTTACACGTAATAGAAATGAACAGATATGTTACATACAATATATTTTAAAAATGTTTTAAAATAATATGAGGAAAATGATTAAATTTTTTTCATTGAAATAATTAGCTAATAGTTTACAGGCATTAATTGTATAACAAATATATGATATTTTATATTTAATTGAGTTTAGAAATATTATTAAAGTTATTAATTTCCATGTGGTTTATGTTGATTAAAAATGTTAATGTAACTGTAGAGCACATAAACAGCCATAAATGATGAACGGAGAAGCCTTTTAACTTAATTGGAATCTATTAAAAATGAAATAAGCAGTCTCATTTGTAGAATAAGTAAAGTGCACTCACAAAGAACCTTATAGCAGGGATAGTTTTGCTGCTTATGAAAACAAATAATTATTCTCACTTCTGTATGAAATTTTTTTAAAGACTTTATTTATTTGAGATAAAGAGAGAGTGAGAGAGAGACAGAGACCAGGAGCCAGGGGGCAGAGGGAGAGGGAGAAGCAGGGTCCCCACTGAGCAAGGAGCCTGACACGGGGCTCAATCCTATGACCTCGGGGTCATGATCTGAGCTGAAGGTAGATGCTTAACTGACTGTGCCACCCAGGTGCCCCTCATTTCTGTATGAAATTTGATTTTCATTGTGAAATTTGAAAGTGAGAACTTGATGTATTTCATCAAACCTATTTTTTTTGAGATTATGGACCTAAGTTTTATAATTCTATTTATTTTACCTTAAATTTTGATAAGCAAATTTACAGTCTTCACAGTCTTATTAGGAGGGCATAAATTTAGGGTCACTCTTTTAAATTTCTTATTTTTAATGATTAAGAGAATATTAATATTTTTTCCATTTATGCCATTGCTTAGTGTGATCATCTATGCTACATAGTCTTAGGTATTTTCCATGTAAGACATGTTTATGCTCATCCACTGAAATCATTTTCAGGATAATCCAGCACCTGGCAGCTATAATGTTCAGAAATCATATGAGATGTCCCAAGTTCAACATAAATACATGGCACCTCGTAGTTTTGTGGCTAAACTGAAACATGCCTCCTTTCTTAGCACAACTCCTCGGTGCCTGGAGAAAATGACTGATGGGCCAGGTAAGTACAAGCATTTTTTATTTTTTGAAAGCTATGGAAAGGTTTCCATTATAAAAATAGACAACTATAAACATACCTTTATATTTACCATCCCTCTTTTAAATGTACAGGATGAAAAAAGTCTGCTTATTCAGTGAAAGATTTTAGATTTTTTTTTCAACTGTAAGATGTGTTTGGGGTTTTATGTCTCTTAACTTCACCAAAGACAATCTTACCAGTTTTAACTTAAAACTAATACATTCATGTTCCATTAGAGAAAAACCCAAAATTCTTAGTAATGCTACATTGTCAGAGGAGAAAGGCACTTTATTGTGTTTTGTAAGATCAGTCTTGTACAAGACACACATCATGTTAGTCTTACGGACTTATTTTAGTTTTTCTCAAGTATCAAGAAAACATCCATATAAAAGATAAACATTTATTTGGGGGGGGGTAAAAATTCCAAAAGCAATTTTGAGTTTTAAAATTGGAATTAGTTTGGGGACCCTTGGGTGGCTCAGCAGTTTATAGACTGCTTTTGTCCCAGGGCATGATCCTGGAGTCCCTGGATCGAGTCCCATGTCAGTCTTCCTGCATGGAGCCTGCTTATCCCTCTGCCTGTGTCTCTGCCTCTCTCTGTGTCTCTTGTAAATAAATGAATAAAATCTTTAAAAAAAATTGGAATTAGTTTAGCTACTAGTAATAGTGTTCTTAGACTTAAAATGAATGCAATAACTTGGTAATGAGGATAAATCAGGTAAGTGTGTTTTCACACAGGAAAACTAGATAGGAAATAGGAACAATAGTTTTCAACAGTAATTTTGAAATGTATTGCCACTAAACAACCAAACTGTTGTAAAGACTCTTTATGAGAATATGAAGAGAAAAAATGAAACAGAATGGAGAAACTCATCGATGGGTTTTTGATGAAAAACCAAATTAAGAGAATACAACTTGTCAGCAAATGAGAATACTCAGAGAGCCTGTGATCCACGGAAACTTGCTTTGTTTTTCATTGTCTTTTAAAAATCAAGTATATTGCCAACTTAAAGGTCTGTTCTAAGTCAAAATTTAATTTTTCTTATTTTCTTTTTTTTTCTCTTGAGTTACTGTACCATTGCTGATTTTGTCAAGTTTTAGCTTTGTTATGAAGTATAATTTAAACACCTTTAGTGTGTCCCTGACCACACTCAGTATGTAGTCACCCAGAATGGTTCAGGGAAATTAGTTCTTTGAAGTTCTGGTACTATCATGGTAACTATCACTAAGGACAAGCAAATAATAAATAAATGTCCATTTCAGGGTCTCTTGAAGTAAATTATGTTGAACTTAATATTCTCTGAAGATTATTTTTTATCTTTCCCTTTACTGTTCTCTCCATAAAAATTATTGTAGATGAAATGTATAGGAATTTCAGTTAGGTGCCAGGATTGGCACTGTGACTTTTCATCATTTCAGTATTTAGACTAGGGCAAGTAAACACACTAATTGTTTTATTAGTTTCTATTTTATAAAATTCAGAAAATATTTGCCACCTACTTGGCTCTCATGAGAATACTGAAGATTAATAAGACTGTGTTTCTTTTTTTTTCTTTCTTCTTTTTACTTATTTATTTTAAAAATTAATTTATTTTTTATTGCTGTTCAATTTACCAACATACAGAATAACACCCAGTGCTCATCCCATCAAGTGCCCCCCTCAGTGCCCGTCACCCATTCACCCCCACCCCTGCCCTCCTCCCCTTCCACCACTCCTAGTTCATTTCCCAGAGTTAGGAGTCTTTATGTTCTGTCTCCCTTTCTGATATTTCCTACCCATTTCTTCTCCCTTCCCTTCTATTCCCTTTCACTATTATTTATATTCCCCAAATGAATGAGAACATAATAATGTTTGTTCTTCTCTGATTGACTTACTTCACTCAGCATAATACCCTCCAGTTCCATCCACGTTGAAGCAAATGGTGGGTATTTGTCATTTCTAATGGCTGCGTAATATTCCATTGTATACATAAACCACATCTTCTTTTTTTTTCCTGTTTGTTTTTTTTAATAAATTAAATTTTATTGGTGTTCAATTTACCAACATACAGAATAACACCCAGTGCTCATCCCGTCAAGTGTCCCCCTCAGTGCCCGTCACCCATTCACCCCCACCCCCCGCCCTCCTCCCCCTCCACCACCCCTAGTTCGTTTCCCAGAGTTAGGAGTCTTTATGTTCTGTGTCCCTTTCTGATATTTCCCACACATTTCTTCTCCTTTCCCTTATATTCCCTTTCACTATTATTCATATTCCCCAAATGAATGAGAACATACACTGTTTGTCTTTCTCCGATTGACTTACTTCACTCAGCATAATACCCTCCAGTTCCATCCACGTTGAAGCAAATGGTGGGTATTTGTCGTTTCTAATGGCTGAGTAATATTCCATTGTATACATAAACCACATCTTCTTTATCCATTCATCTTTCGATGGACACCGAGGCTCCTTCCACAGTTTGGCTATTGTGGACATTGCTGCTATAAACATCGGGGTGCAGGTGTCCCGGCGTTTCATTGCATCTGTATCTTTGGGTAAATCCCCAGCAGTGCAATTGCTGGGTCGTAGGGCAGGTCTATTTTTAACTCTTTGAGGAACCTCCACACAGTTTTCCAGAGTGGCTGCACCAGTTCACATTCCCACCAACAGTGTAAGAGGGTTCCCTTTCGCCACATCCTCTCCAACATTTGTTGTTTCCTGCCTTGTTAATTTTCCCCATTCTCACTGGTGTGAGGTGGTATCTCATTGTGGTTTTGATTTGTATTTCCCTGATGGCAAGTGATGCAGAGCATTTTCTCATGTGCATGTTGGCCATGTCTATGTCTTCCTCTGTGAGATTTCTCTTCATGTCTTTTGCCCATTTCATGATTGGATTGTTTGTTTCTTTGCTGTTGAGTATAATAAGTTCTTTATAGATCTTGGAAACTAGCCCTTTATCTGATGCGTCATTTGCAAATATCTTCTCCCATTCTGTAGGTTGTCTTTTAGTTTTGTTGACTGTATCCTTTGCTGTGCAGAAGCTTCTTATCTTGATGAAGTCCCAATAGTTCATTTTGCTTTTGTTTCTTTTGCCTTCATGGATGTATCTTGCAAGAAGTTACTGTGGCCGAGTTCAAAAAGGGTGTTGCCTGTGTTCTCCTCTAGGATTTTGATGGAATCTTGTCTCACATTTAGATCTTTCATCCATTTTGAGTTTATCTTTGTGTATGATGCAAGAGAGTGGTCTAGTTTCATTCTTCTGCATGTGGATGTCCAATTTTCCCAGCACCATTTATTGAAGAGACTGTCTTTCTTTCAGTGGATAGTCTTTCCTCCTTTGTCAAATATTAGTTGACCATAAAGTTGAGGGTCCACTTCTGGGTTCTCTATTCTGTTCCATCACTGATCTGTGTATCTGTTTTTGTGCCAGTACCACACTGTCTTGATGACCACAGCTTTGTAGTACAACCTGAAATCTGGCATTGCGATGCCCCCAGATATGGTTTTTTCTTTTTAAAATTCCCCTGGCTATTCGGGGTCTTTTCTGATTCCACACAAATCTTAAAATAATTTGTTCTAACTCTCTGAAGAAAGTCCATGGTATTTTGATAGGGATTGCATTAAACGTGTAAATTGCCCTGGGTAACATTGACATTTTCACAATATTAATTCTGCCAATCCATGAGCACAGAATATTTTTCCATCTCTTTGTGTCTTTCTCAATTTCTTTCAGAAGTGCTCTATAGTTTTAGGGTATAGATCCTTTACCTCTTTGGTTAGGTTTATTCCTAGGTATCTTATGCTTTTGGGTACAATTGTAAATGGGATTGACTCCTTAATTTCTCTTTCTTCAGTCTCATTGTTAATGTATAGAAATGCCACTGACTTCCTTGAATTGATTTTGTATCCCGCCACACTGCCAAATTGCTGTATGAGTTCTAGCAATCTTGGGGTGGAGGCTTTTGGGTTTTCTATGTAGAGTATCATGTCATCGGCGAAGAGGGAGAGTTTGACTTCTTCTTTGCCAATTTGAATGCCTTTAATGTCTTTTTGTTGTCTGATTGCTGAGGCTAGGACTTCCAGTACTATGTTGAATAGCAGTGGTGAGAGTGGACATCCCTGTCTTGTTCCTGATCTTAGGGGAAAGGCTCCCAGTGCTTCCCCATTGAGAATGATATTTGCTGTGGGCTTTTCGTAGATGGCTTTTAAGATGTCGAGGAAAGTTCCCTCTATCCCTACACTCTGAAGAGTTTTGATCAGGAATGGATGCTGTATTTTGTCAAATGCTTTCTCTGCATCTAATGAGAGGATCATATGGTTCTTGGTTTTTCTCTTGCTGATATGATGAATCACATTGATTGTTTTACGAGTGTTGAACCAGCCTTGCGTCCCGGGATAAATCCTACTTGGTCATGGTGAATAATTTTCTTAATGTGTTGTTGGATCCTTTTGGCTAGTATCTTGTTGAGAATTTTTGCATCCATGTTTATCAGGGACATTGGTCTGTAATTCTCCTTTTTGGTGGGGTCTTTGTCTGGGATTGGAATTAAGGTGATGCTGGCCTCATAGAACGAATTTGGAAGTACTCCATCTCTTTCTATCTTTCCAAACAGCTTTAGTAGAATAGGTATGGTTTCTTCTTTAAACCATTGATAGAATTCCCCAGGGAAGCCATCTGGCCCTGGACTTTTGTGTCTTGGGAGGTTTTTGATGACTCCTTCAATTTCCTCCCTGGTTATTGGCCTGTTCAGGTTTTCTATTTCTTCCTGTTCCAGTTCTGGTAGTTTGTGGCTTTCCAGAAATATGTCCATTTCTTCTAGATTGCTAATTTATTGGCGTAGAGCTGTTCATAATATGTTTTTAAAATCGTTTGTATTTCCTTGGTGTTGGTAGTGATCTCTCCTTTCTCATTCATGATTTTATTAATTTGAGTCTTCTCTCTCTTCTTTTTAATTATGCTGGCTAATGGTTTATCTATCTTATTAATTCTTTCAAAGAACCAACT